GCATGTTGTAGACTTTGCTGAACGCTATAAAGATCATCACACAGGAAGACAGTTTCCTTTTTGTCCTATGGAAGACCCTCACAAACAGACGGCTTCTCATATACTGGTATGGTTTATATTCAGGAATTTACAGTACATCATATTTTTGTAGTTTTCCTACACTGCTGCATTTCCTTTTTCATAGTGAACTGGTTTTGTTGACTTCAATGTGAAACAAAGCCTTACAACTGATTTTGACAGACTGAATTGATTGAATGAAAATACAGGTACTTAAACTTCTATCTTCAGGGAATCTATTTATATGATTCTGCTTGGAATGTGAGTCACATCTTTTTTTTTTTTTACATTTCAAAAGCCTTCTTGAAAAGTCCTTGATGGTTTATTTATTCTTGTATAAATGTAAGCAGGTTTCTAACCTTATCAAACCAACTGTGATTTCTTCATGTCTCCGAGTGACAGTCAGTATGCAATGCTGCAGACACTGTCGTTAAATAAGGGAAAAACAGAACATATCTAGCACAACATATCACACATATATAGCAAGAAATGAAGTGTATGCAAAACAAGAACTTGATCTGGATGACTAATTTCTCCCCTCTATTCCAGGAGTTAATGCCTTCTTATTTGCTTGTCATGTTTATGGCAGCCTTGACGAGTAATAACTTTCTGTGGGAGTCTCTTGTGGGTGGTAATCTGCAGCGGCAGATCGGCTAGCCATATGCTCTTTGATTATTGAAGGTGATGTGTGAGAATGCTGTCAGCCCACTGCGTCGTGTTATCTGAAGTAGACACACGGGTCAAGGCTCGCAACCGAAGCCCGACACATGCTAATGAACTTATCTCATAAAATATGCATCAAGCCCTCCCAGGGCCGTACAGTGGCAGAGGCGTGATTTTGCAGGAATTATGGGAACAGTCATTTTCCATTATGTCAATGCTAAATGAGGAGTGACCCGCGGGAGAAGCATGTCTGACCCGTGTCAAGACAGTTCCTGGCAATTTTGCACGGAGAACTTTGCAGATCAGTTCTGACTTTTAAGATACTGCGGTGACAGAGAGAATAAATGGATCTGGGTGCACGGCATAACCTTGTTGGAGTAATCTCTCTCTGAAGCCGGTGTTCCAAGTCTGTATAATTAATCAAAGACAATGATGTCAATGAGGGCTCCGCTTATGAAATTAGAGGCACGCTGTCTTCCATTACTGTACAGCTTATAAGTGCATTAGGATGGGAAGAGAGGAACAATAAACCAGGTGTGGAAACCATTAGCTCCATTCGTCAATCCAACCATTTGTGGTTCCCGTCTCTTGTTTTTCGGCACAATTAAGTGTCTCCAAACAAGGCCAGGGCTGAATGCCTGTGTGTTGATATGGCAGTCAGGACTGCAAACAAGGTGTGAACAGCACCAGTGAAATAGCTGTTTGCTCAATAATGAATGAGGCTTAACAAATTAGGTTGGTTCTGTGTTATTTATTGTTCTTGTATGCTTTGGGCTGAGTAATGGATGACTGGTAAATTACACAATCGCATTTAAAGTCCTATTAATTATAAAATGGGGGTATTTGTCCAAACATAAACCAACTGGCACAACTGATACAGAACAAAATAGTTCATTTTATGGATTTTAAACCTTTTCCAGTCTATGCTGAGATTGTGTAGGTCACAACATAAAGAGTTCTCTTACTGAGGGACTTGGACTCTTATTAGCCGTGTAATGTAAAGCAGTTTGGCATTTTTTGCGCGTATAGTGAAGCAATTACACATACTATTAATGATGAATCATTCTGTACCCACATGTTGTTTTGGCTGCTCGAGCTCTATGTATAAGCAGCATTAATCACTCCTTTAAAGTCTACAAATATTGAGCAGAAAAATGGTGTTTTACATGACATTATGTGATTTAATTGTTTTCACTTTAGTAGTATTGGAGGCCGTCTAGTACTACGGCCCAAACCACAGGAAGCTGAGGCGGAATATTTAACAAGCATTTCAAACGATTCCTATTGTATCGTCATTTGATTAATTATATCATAATTACAAAATTGCAGAGTGAAACAAAATGAGCAATTACTTCAAGGTTAACTGTTTAATTCATTAACAATTGATGTACAACTTGACATCACAGTGTATCCCACACAATACAAAAAAAAATCTGTTACTCATGTATCCGCAGAGAGAGAGAGATTGAGAGAGAGAGAGAGAGATAGAAGCTGATACATACCTCCTGTACATGCACTGACTGAGGTGTGATATCACATGTTAAAACTGAAGCTTCTTCTGCCTTTTTTGAAGATTTTTCTGCAGCTGTTCAGCCTCCACACACACTGTTCACATGCAGACCCCACCCCCACTGTACCCCCAGGTACAGTGTAATTCTCTGGGAGACACTGACATGCATTATTTGAAATTATCAAACATGTATGATGTCATATTTGATTTAATGCCTTCAGGAAAAAAGTCTACATGGCTTCCATTCTGTTGATGCATGGCGTCTGGCTCAGTGGACAGACACATTACAATAAATTCTTGGGGGGCAAAATCCTTAGGGTTAGGGTTAGGGTTAGTATACATATACTTCTTAGTTATGTGTTTTATAGTGTCAAAGATGTGTTGTAAACTGGCCATGAAAATATGATTTTTTTTACCCCAAATTACACATGTTATCAAACATGACAATGACATGCTACATCATGCCCATGCTCACAGCTCATTCGTACTCTTACTGATATGTAACGACATAAAAAAACATATTGTAGGAAAGATTAAATATTCAATTGCATGTCTGGTAGCGGGATTATATATTAGTAATCTTCTGTATGCGTTGCCTCTCTCATAGAATGCACGTCTGTCAAATGACAGGCTGCAGCAGGCGGAACAATCTCCCGTGGCCGCCGGTTGTCAAATCTGTTGTGCTGCTCACCGGGATGATGTCTGAGACAGAGCAAAGTATCTTAAAGAAATGATTGTGAGCGTGCTGCTTTGCACTCACATTTCATACAGCAGGCATGTCAAACTGATATATGAACTGCCAGCACATCATGTTATATCTCCACATGGTAACCTGCAGCTGACGCAACAACTGCACAGTCTTCCAGCAGCTTTCCGAGAGGTTTTATGAAAATGTCTAACACTAGGTTTTTGAAGCGAACATAAAAAGCTCATCAGCACCCTCTCATTAGAATGTCATTAAATAATACATGACTTTCAACCTCTATGGGCAATCAAGGAGCTGCAGTAACGCTGACAGGTCTGTGGCACAGTGTGCGGTGGCCTATAATTGACAGCGAAAATAAAGTCACAGCGTTCACTATGGAGACAAGTAATCTAGCTAATTAGAGCATACATCCAAGAGAAATGTCTACTTTTGAAGTAATACATCACCAGGCAAGTAATTAAGAGATTTAATTATATGTTTGAGAATGCCAGTGTGATTTGTCACTGGGCTGTTAAAAACTAGCAAGGATTTGGGTGGGGGTAAAGAATGGGTCACCAAGTTATAAAAAACAAAATTGTAAAAAGGGAATTAAACATGGGTCATTTTTTTGGTATATATTTTGGCAGATAAATGACATATGGGTATAAAAAGGTTTGGATTTGTTTCAGTAGATGGCTTCAGCTGGCTGCTTCAAAATGGCCTGTTGTGACTGCAATGTAAGCTTTAGAGGAAAAGCTGCTGATCAAAGTACATCAACTAAAAGTACTTATTTTCACCACTCAGAGGCTCAGCCTGTCTATCAAGGTAACGGAAATTACCTTTAATGAGAAATCTCTCGAGATCGGATGATTTCTTTAAACCAGAGACGTCAAACGCTTTCTCCAATCCTACCAGACTTCATTGACAAAAACCATAACTATACCACAGAGAACACAGGAATGTCCAGTCTACTTCAGCCTTGACCACTTGAACTTTACTATTTTATGATTTTGTGTTTAAAGTGTTAAAACTAAACAGCTAAGGCAGCAATAGACAGTAACTAAAATGTAAAATGTAAAATGACTGTGCCTTTCAATGTGAGTCTGGCAGCTTTAACAGAAAGAATGCTTGTCTTATTGTAAGATTGTCAGAACAGTGATAGAGTAGGAAATCAGGGAGAGAGAGAGAGTGGGGAATGACTTGCTGGAATGGAGCTAGGGCTCCAACTTGGGCCACAAACCTGTATGGCTACAGCCTCCGCACACGGGGCGGTACCAACTGCAGGACTACCAGTACCCCGTTGACAGACAATCTTAATAACAATCTGAGCAGGCCAGTTCACTTTGAAAAGTACATTGACGAGGACCATTTGTTCTGAAAGAATAAGGTGCAGTTCTTAAAGATTGGTCGCAAGCTGAGGCAATTTATTGAGAATTTTCAAACCTTTTGGTAATTTAAAGTCTTTATATGTGATTTTTCACACTTAAATATAATAGAAATCAAGTATAGCCTCTGAAAATAACTCTGTGAGTCATGACTGTCTACAATGGGTGTAACACCCGAGTCCCACTGTCTGTGATGCTTTCAGAGTTTTCAGAGTCCTATCTTCACTTTGTTTACATCGCCAGGACGGCCGGCTGACTCCTCCCCTCGTGTATAAAAGTTGTTTAATTGAGGGACTAGAGAAAAGAAGAATAACATACTGTACTCACTGCTTAACTGTGTTTCTAGATCACGCTCATTTCAGGTAAAGTTACATGCAGTGTGAAGATACCAGCATAATAAAGATCACTAGCGTTAGCATGCTAACACAACAATGCAGCGAGAGTTGTTTTGGTTTCACGCTGGTGCTCAAGGGCGACATCTACTGGATGACAAAAATCGCATATTAAAGCCTTTAAGGTCCAAAGATATGTCAAAAAAGGGCCAAGGTTTTAAAATAATACAAATCCCCTGAAGTACCACATACCATGTCTTAAACGTTGACTAAGTACACAGTGAGACCAATAACTTTGCTAAATGATTTAAGGTATCCAGTAAAGAGCAAACTTATTGAACTTTGGATTTTGTTTTGTCTTCCTGTAGGTGATGACCTCCATACATCTCTGAGTGGGATCCTGACAGGCCCAGGAAAACTGCTTTTGTTGGGACGGCCCCCTTTTCCCATAAACCACCTTCACAAGCAAGTTTCAGCGTGGCTCAGCTCCCGTCACTGGACTTTAACTTGGGGACCTGAACCTCACAGATCGCCAATGCTAACAAGGAACTGCCTGCTGCTGTTCCTTTGGATTCTCGTGGACGAAGGCTCAGTCTCCTCTTTTCGTGCACCTTCAACGCCCCTGGGACGGAGCAGGACGGGCAGGGAGCACGCCAGGAGCTTGGTGGGCCCGATGAGGAATGGGGCGGCTGGATTCCAGCGGGTCAAAAGGGGCTGGGTGTGGAACCAGTTCTTCGTGCTGGAGGAGTACATGGGGTCAGACCCACAGTATGTGGGCAAGGTAAAAAGGCTCATTTTTCTCTGATATTTTTATGGTGCAAGAGAGGACATAAATCACGTAGTAAGGAGCTCGGGAGAAATTGAATTGGTGGTAAATGGAGGGAGCGGTAGAACATGAGGGAGATAAAAGATGAGAAAGGGAACAGTAAGAACACTAATATGGAGTAAGTTTAAAGTTTTGTTCTGCTACTTTCTGATGGGAAATTCTGTGAACTTTTTGCAATTGGATAAAACTGCTCAAATATATTTCCAATCTTTTAATCAACTAACAATGATTGCAGTTGCAGCATTTTGCCCCTGGATTTACAGCTTTATCTCACAATGCCCTTGTTGTAAAAGTGTCCCTGCCTGTTAGTGCTTTAAGATAAAAATGGTCTCAGGCAAGGGAAGAAAATCCATACATGCTAATTGAGCTGTGCCACCATTTCTATGTTAGAGCAGCCAGACACACATGACATTGAAGTGGTGGGAGAATCGATGGCGTGGTAGAGATAAATTTAAATTACAGCCCTTGTAAAGCTGTCAAAGCATCACGGTTATGAGCCGGAAAAGATGCTGACAACAATGAAAGGCAGCAGAGGAAAAAAAAAAAACACGGCCTGTACTGAGTCCAGACTGAGATATATGCACACATCCCATCAGACACGTTTCTTTTTTGTCCTCTCTCAAACCTTGTCCATCTGCCTTTTTAGTGCCGGATTTTGTATTCTCTGCTGTGGCTTAAGACATTCGTAAGTAAACTCTGTGGGGTTTTAAGGCTAAACTTGTAATTTGGCACTCCTAGCTCACATAGGATAATAGTAAGACTGACTTATCTGCCCCAGTGCCGCCGCAATCAGCCCTGACAAGCCGTGCTGTTTGTGGAAGTCTCAGAGGCTAAAAGCAGGGGGAGGGAGGCGGCTGCCTGCTGCACTCCTAAGTCACTTAATCCTGGGCGGCTGCTCCGCTTCAAAATAATTGACTGATTCTTTGCCGTATGAAAAGCATTTGGAGATGAGATCCGCAGACCTTTGTCAGGACAATCTCAAAAGGATGGTAGCTCTAACAGGAGGAAAGTTAAATGGATAATGGAGACTGGGCGGGCAGGATGTGAGTGACATGTCTTATGTATCACAGAGGCCTATTAAGGATAGTTTTATTTTCAAGGCACATAAATGAACTCTAATGAACCGTGAGTCTTAGTGCAATGAATGCTTGTCCTTTAATACATCAACGTCTAATTGTGGTAATTTATTCACCCTAGAGTGTAAACATGATTTCCATTCATTGACCTGCAGAGTCTCAGAGCTATAGTGCCTCAAGTCACTGCCTGTTTCCTTGACAGTGGCAGGAGTCTGCTTTGGAGCAATTGAGGAAGTCATTTTCAAAATGATTACTAATATTACTTCTTAGGTGCAAGGATTTTTGTCTTTCCGTGACTTGAGCGGCAGAGGTGCCAGGGCTGCTCAATAATGACAAAAATCATGAGCTCAAGCCCGGTCCATATTGAAATCATGATTATTTAACACGCCATCTTGGCTGGAGCTGAATTAAACATGGCACAGCGTGGCTTAGAGGTTTCAGACGCATGGCTTAGAGGTTTCAGACCGGCAAAACCCAAAGTAATATTAGTGAACGAGAGAGCAGGAAGGTAAAATTAGGTGAGGCCAGCCGAGAATACCAGCAGCGGAAATGGTAGACCACATTACCATCCAAAGTTAACCTATTTTAACTTTTTGCCCCGCTGCTGTGACATAAATTACGAATTGCATATTATCTAGCTTCAGCACGCAAGGAGAAAAACACCGGCCCTCAGGTCCTCCAGTAGTGAATCATTTTGCTATCCTACCATTCCATTTGTTTGCTGTCCAGAGGGTGTTTTTAACCATCTGCCTGAATCCATGTGAATGCAGCGTAAATTAAATGTACCACTATCAAGGAAAGGATTTCCCAATATTTGTAAGAAAAGAAAAACACAGCCCAACAGCTTTTTCTTTCAACATTCATGTAAGCCAAAATGGTAACTTAACTTTTTACATCACCCAGCTCTTGGAAATATTCTTTACTGTACCCTTCTATTCATTTAGCACCAATGAAGATTGGGAGTTTTCAGCAGTTTTGATTGGTTTGCATGTTTCTTTCAAACTAAAGTTAGTAAAAAGTTGTATTCTCTGCGGTTCCAGATATAATTTAAAAATCACTAAGCAACACAAACATGATATAAAAGCAGTAATGCTTGTTCTCATGGTCTGTTCTGGTGTTTATCATCTAACACTTTTGCGGTAGCATTTCAGAAACTTTTTGATCTGCTTATATTGGACGCACTGTCTTTTTATGTTAAAAGGTCATGCATAGGTCCCTCAGCCAAGACTGTTAAAAACATTGCAGCTTGGGTTCCATTGTAGAAGGCTTTAATTATGAACGAGCCCATTTAAGTCTCCAGAGTTCGTTGGCTCTGTACATTTATATTCACAGAGACATCATTCTATTCAATTTAATGTATTTTTATACTACAAATACAATCCTCTCATCCTTAGGGCTTCTGCCAAACATTGACGATTTAAATTATCAATCGGTAAGCTCCTGTGTGGATTTAGATTTTGTCAGTCATATCATTGAATTACATTGTGTCTGCATTATTTTAAACAGAGCAACACAAGAGAATAGAACAGCAGGCTTCAAACAAACTGATGTTCAAAATCTGACCAACATGACTGATTTACCTCCACCCCTCCATTGACATTGGTTTCATTTTTGGAAATGCTATTTGAGTTGTGATGAGTTGACTTTTTATTTTGAAGCTGTTGTACATTTCTATTAAAACAGCTCAGAGAACTAAATGTTGCATCAATTTAACAGATGTAATGTATGATGGAGAACATTTTGCCAAACTTTAGCAAAAAGTCAGCCCTCATTATATCTGTACATTCGAGATCTTGTGAGCATTGTTTCAACTCTGAAGTCTCTGGGTCAAACTGTTTTGTCAAGCTCTCAAGTTGGTATCTCTTTTTTTTTTATTCCCAGTGTGAATTCGCTAACAAAGGAAGACAGTATTATTTAGAATGTTATTCTCTAAACATCATGAGCGCCTTCAAAAGAAAAAATCCATACCAGTTCTGTATCCAAATCCTGACTTTGATGACAAAATATATTATATTTAAACAGTGTTGTATTTAATGCATCACTGCCAACTATAATTGCCACAGTCAAATCCCTACTAATTAGTGCTGGCGATTAAAATTCACATAAGTCACATTTCTAACAAGATGTAGTCATTTTGTTAGTTTTGACAGCATAAAGAATGCAAGCCCAATCCTGGAAGGGAGGAGGGGGGGGGGGGGGCAACCAGTTATGATGGAGTGAAGAATCATAGCGCTTGAGTTACAAATTAACTAGTTTCCCCACTAACTGTTGGCGTCCACCTGAAAAGCAGACGGGTACTTGTGGCAAGGGGAACAGAATTACATTGAGTAGCCCAATTGTTTCTTTTTCATTAAAATGTTCTAGACATGATTGCGAGAGTCTCAGACCTCTTTTTTGTTTTACTTAAGGAAGAATTCAAGCACAATGACAAGATGAATCACCTACATAAATAATAAGCCTTTGCTACCTAATGCTAATCTATTTGTCACAAATGCAGCTGAATCCAAATGCAGACCAACAGGTAAGGTGTCAAAAATAACTTTATTTAGAACTTGCAGGGGTGAGGTGTCCAGGGTTGAGGGTAAGGCAGTGAGCTGAAGGTGTCTGGCTGGGAGGCTTTGTTGGCAGTGAGGTGGAATTTGGCGGAAGAAGTGTGAAGTCTTAATGGTAGTTAACAGGACTAAACGGAAGCTGGACTTGTGACTAAACAAACAATGACTGGCACAACAATCCGGCAGACACTGAGTGTTGGTGCAGGGTTCTTGTAGGTGAAGTTGATTGCGGGCAAGTGTGTTGATTGCAAACCCAATGCAGGTGAGCAGAGGGAAGAGGACAGAGTGGAAGGGAGAAGGGGAAAACAAAAACACACAAAGCACTCAGCACTCAGCACTCACACTCGCAATTAAAAACAAACACACCTCATGCAAACTGAAGTCATGGAGCAGGTACTGTGACACTATTTCACTATTAAACCACAAAAAAAGGCTTTAAAAAATAAGTGATGAGTTTAATAGCGGTCGATTTTTTATTCTTATAAGGAACTTGGAAGTAGATGTTTGAGTCAAGAACTAATATTGATGATTGTGAGATTGAAAAATCATCTTGTGAGTGCACCCTGTTGGTCAGTCACTTAGATAGGTTTTCATTTCCTTAATTAGCTTGAACCTAGGGGGGTATTTTTCACAAAAACTGCTGATATATACAGCAATTAAAAATCTTTGATAAGCCATTATTTGTAACTATATCGGACTGATAAATCAGCCCAGCTCTTAATTAGAATCAATACATCGGAATGTTTTTTTTTTTCAAAGCATTTCATTGTTACTTTTTCTGTATCTTTAAATCTTAAGCAATAGACTAAACATTTCCCAAATAAAAAGTTTGGACAACATTTAACATATCATCTTGTTTCTGACATTTTCTTACTTTTTTTTTGTGGTTACTTTCCATTGTTTTTATTTTATTGAAGGACCTAAAATAATCTAAGACATCAAAAATCAGTTACCTAACTTAACATCTAAATCCAGACACAGCTTTTTGGCAGAGTAAGGCGAATGGAACCTGTACAGATGCACAGCCGGCTTCTTTTATGTCTATTTAATTCGTTTTAAAACAAAACAAAG